GAGTGAATCACCTGAGGTCAGGAGTTCAAGACCAGCCTGACCAACATGGAGAAACCCCGTCTCTACTAAAAACACAAAATTAGCCGGGTGTAGTGGCACATGCCTGTAATCCCAGCTACTTGGGAGGCTGAGGCAGGAGAATCACATGAACCAAGGAGACAGAGTTTGCAGTGAGCCGTATCACGCCATTGCACTCCAGCCTGGGCAACAAGAGCAAAACTCTGTCTCAAAAAAAAAAAGAAGAATGTGAACATCCGATAAACATTTGATAAATGTGCTCAAAAATCAGGAGAAATAAAAGGGCTACAAATCATAAAGATCTGGAAATCTTTAGCATAGAGATGGCAAATGACACCATGGTAGTAGATGAAATCATCAAAAGAGGGTTCACTAAGAAAATTTACTTGGTGTACTTAAATGCATCAATACTTAACAGCCAAGAAGATAAAGAGGGGCCTATAAAAGAAAGTTTTCAGAAGGAAGAAGAATGAAAAAAGGGAAACAGAAGCCTGAGGTGTCATGGAAACCTAGAGACTACAACATTTCAAGGTGGTGGTTAATGATGTTAAAAGCTGGCCATAGGTTAAATAAGACAGACTGAAAAGAATTAGGCAGGCAAAATCTTCTCCACCAAACCAGCAAGCATTCATCTTTTCGATCAAGTAAAATCAAGTTGCATTAAGAACTATGGAGGAATGAAAAACAGGGACAAAAATCACTTCAACAAAGTCTACTTCATGGGAAAGTTTGGATTTTTCTTTAAATCCTATTTCTCCTCTTAATTTTCTACCACTGGGTTTTAGGCTATTCATATGTAATTTTTTTTCCCAATTTGGGTTAATAAAGAAACCATGCAATAAATATTCTTCATTCTTGGTATTCAATGCTCAAACTTTCTTACTAATTCTAGAGGCTCACTTTTGCAATAAGAGAACTATTCCCGGCCGGGCGCGGTGGCTCAAGCCCATAATCCCAGCACTTTGGGAGGCCGAGGCGGGTGGATCACGAGGTCAACAGATCAAGACCATCCTGGTCAACATGGTGAAACCCCGTCTCTACTAAAAATATACAAAAAATTAGCTGGGCATGGTGGCGTGTGCCTGTAATCCCAGCTACTCAGGAGGCTGAGGCAGGGGAATTGCCTGAACCCAGGAGGCGGAGGTTGCGGTGAGCCGAGATCGCGCCATTGCACTCCAGCCTGGGTAACAGGAGCAAAACTCCGTCTCAAAAAAAAAAAAGAAAACTATTCCTGACAATTAGGCCAAGACTACATAAAAGAAAACCACTGAAAGGATAAGGTTGTTCTCTCTGTTTAAATGACTAACACTTTTAGAGACTATGTCAATAAATTTGTTGGGTAGTAAGAATACATGATTTTTTTGATGTTGTTTTTTGTTTTAAGATCAGATCTACAATTAAAGAGGCAATGTGGCTGAATAAATTAATCTCAAGTCTAGAAGCCAAAAGTTTTAAACTGTAAATTCACCTCTGCCAATTAATTTGAGCAACTCTGACAATCTTCTATAATTCCTTCAGAAAACAGCAGTTAAATAATTGCAATATATATATATCAGAATAATTGCTCCATATCAGAATGAGATAACTATCAAACAAAAATGAAATGATTGAAAGTAAATATAGAAATGGAGGCAAGAAAACACTGATAAATACGACATCAAAAATAAGTCTTCGTGCCTGGGTGCAGTGGCTTGTGCCTGTAATGTCAGCATTTTGGGAAGCTGAGGCAGGCCGATCTCTTTGAGACCAGCCTGGCGAAATGGCAGAAAGCCTGTCTCTACGAAAAATACAAAAATTAGCAGGGTGCGGTGTGGTGGCACATGCCTGTAGTCTCAGCTACTTGGGAGGCTGAGGCACAAGAATCATTTGAACCTGGAAGGCAGAGGCTGCAGTGAGCCAAGACTGCACCACTGCACTCGAGCCTGGGAAACAGAGCTAGACTCTGTTTGGGAAAAAAAAAAAAGGAAAAGCAGCCTTAGAATCCTCATGACAATTGCACCTGCCTATTGATAACATCTGATTTGTGTTTTTAGGAACTGTACAGATACTAGGACTCATAGCCAAATGGGTAAAATTTCCTCAGAGTCTTTTAGGGTTGGCATTGTAAAAGAGATGAGGTCAGGTATAAGGCAAATACAGAAAGATCTTTCCCTTCTCCACTTCCATTCTAGCCTATGACACTTTCAGTCTGGCCGTTTCACCTTTCTCTTCTCATAGGAAGTGGACACTTAGTGAGGAAGAGCAAAGAGATTTAGCTTAGATGCTACCCAGTAACTACAAGAAAGTCATTAATAATATGGAGCTGAAGTCAGAAATGAACTGTTTCAGTTAAGTGAAAACCATGTAAAATAATGTAAGAGGACTGGAATTAGTTTGTAAGTTGCTAATTCCTGCTGTCAGCCAATGCTCATTAAATACTAGGCATTACACCAATGCCAACACATTTAATCCTCAAATGAGGTGTCCCATTTCAAAGTTAAAGAAACAAAGGACAGGTGAGGTGAGTCACCAAGCTCATGGGTAGAATTTTAATTCTTATAGTAATCTTTAAAAACCTCTATATACATACTCTGGACCATCTAATACATGGATCCTAGATGATAACCTTATAAGCAAGTACTGCCATGCAATTTCAGGGACCTCAGTTTTTGTTTATGTTTACAACTGAGTGAATGTCAAGTGAAGACCATATGATATTGAAGCTTACTCTAAGAATGAAGGTTTCACAGCAGTGATGTGAGAACTGAATCATCACCGGTCATCCAATGGAACGCCAATTCCATAAAAGCCTGCTCTGAACAATCAGTGGCATACTCATGCTGCCAGTAAGATGCACTGCATGGATCCCTTCATTAAAAACACCAATTAGCCATAGTTCACTAATAATAAGTACAGCAGTAAAGACTAAATGAATGTTCCAAGTCTCAGCAATAATTGGACCAGCCACTTATTTAAGGATTTTAAGAATGATGCTGTATTATTTTCCCATTGCTGCCATACTTCAAACTTAGTGGCTTAGAGCAACACAAATGTATTACCTTACAGTTCTTTATCTTAAAAGCTTGACATGTCTCAGTGCTAAAATCAAGGTGTCAGCAGAGCTATGTTGCCTTCTGAAGGCTCTGGGGCAGAATTTCTTTGCATTTCTCAGCTTGTAGAGACTGCCTGCATTCATTGACTCATGCTCCCCTTTCTCCATCTTCAAAGGCCAGCTGAGTCCTTCTCACATTTTATCATTCAGATGTTTCCACATTCAGGACTTTTTCTCTGACTCTTTTCTTCTACCCTTGTCCTTTACTTTTAAGAACTACTGTGTTAATATTGGACCCACCTACATGATCGAGGATAATCTCCCTAGTTTAAGATCAGCTGGTTAGCAATGTTACCCTTTGCCATGCAACCTAATACATTCACAATTTCCAGGAATTAGGAAATAGACATGGGGGTGCTGGTATTATTCTGCTTACCACACTTACACGTTCCTCTCGTCATCAAGTAAACAACATAACTCCATAGGGTTATCAAGTTGTTCCCATTAATGCTGACATTCAAAGACTGCTGACTGACAAAGGTCAGCCTAAATATAATGTCTGATTAATGAACTATCAAAGAACATCTCAGAGATATTAATTCCTCTTTTTTAATAGTATATTTATATGAACACACTTTCTCTGTACCAATCTTATTTGAATCACAATATAAATTTAGTATTTGACCTCCTCCTACTGTTTCTACTATTAAACTCACTAACAATGATTTGGTTGTTACAAAACACTACTATTTGTCACATTATCTTATTGATACTGCTTTGAATTCCATTGTGTTTTTTTTGTATTAAGTTGGGAATTTCTTTTGCTTTCACAATTGTATTCAAACTATACACACATAAAGTTTAAACATAGGGCTTTGTTTCTAAACACTTAAGTAATGGTATATTAAAAATAAGTCAAAATCAGGGATCCATAAATTTATTTTTTCTTTAAAAGGAATTTATATAACTCTCAATTTTAAGAAAAACTGGAGTGCTGGAGCATTAACAGCACAGCATTTGGAATTGGGTTTGACTTCAACCACCAGCTCTGTGACTTACTAGTGGTGTGGCCTTGGATAAGTTACTATTACTTGTTAGGTAATGCAGTTTCCTCATCTATAAAGTAAGGCTACCTTAGACACTGATCATGAAGATGATATTAAGTTATATATGTAAAATCCTCCATACATTCAGCAGAAACTTGACCAAAAATAAAATGCTTGGTACAGTTCCTGGCCACTATCAGGTACTCAATAAGTAAAGCAATACTTATTTTATAAAATTGTATCCAAGCTTAAAGATAAATAAGACAATTTTCAGTGTCTAGCATGTTACATTTTCTCAGGAAATATTAAACTACAACTTCAAATGACTGAAAGAAACACATTATTGCATACTTTATATTTTCTAGAGTCTAGTCAATTTAAAATAATTATTTATCTTTCAATTAATTATCTTATTTATCTCCAATTTACTTAACTTTTAAGTTTGTAATATATCCCAAGGAGAAAAAAAAACACATTTGCCTTTCTAAAAGCTTTATGATTATAGTACTACTTTCAGTTCTACAAGATACTATGTGAAATAATCTTTGACATATACTTTCTATCTTTCCAAAGAGAAAATACCATGATATGTTAGTGAAAACTGACTAGAAAAAAAATAATAAAAAAGAATATAGAAATATCAAAGCCCTGAATGGCATTTAAAATTGGGTAAGAATCAACTTCTAAGGCTTCATTCATCACTTGAAAAGAGTACCAATTTAGAAACAATGCCTGTTCATTCTAACCAAGAGAATGCAAAAAACGACTGATAAAGGTTAAGTGAATTAATACTTGCTGAATATATGAAAAAAATTATAACAGATTAACAATAAACAATTATAAAATCCTTAAAAATGTTTTAAGACAGGTGTCTCTTTGATATTATAAAATACAAAAATACTTACAGTTTGATAATATGAGGATGACGAAAGAGTTTCAGATTTTGAATTTCTCGTTTTATTTTTCCAACAACATCTAAACTGCGAATCTTCTGTCTATTTAAGATTTTAACTGCCACTTTATGGCCTGTTAATTGATGTTCTCCAACTAAAGGAAAGAAAACGGAAAAAAATGCGCTGTCATATCAACAATAATCATTTATTCATGTTTCCTTCCATTCTGCCCTAAACGTCTTTACTCATGTATACCATCTTTATGTCACTGTACGAAACTAAAGTTCTTTGTACTTCTATTTCTTCTATTAGAGTATGTACTCTTTGAGGACAGAAACTGTATCTTAGCCATCTCTGTATCTTTTGCACCTAACAAAGATGTTCGTATTTATGGAATATTTGTGAAAATGATTACTGAATTCTATATTCTTACTAAAATATAATCAACTTTGGAACATCATTTGGACAGAAGAGAACTCACTGTTTCAATAATCTTGTTTCTCTTCTTCTGCTTAATGCCAGTCATTGTATTATAGAAGAATAAATAGTGTGATAAATCAAAAATTCACAATAATTACCATTTCAACAGAAAATTCACATTAGCCCTTTTTTGTGCCTTTTTCATAAAGTCCTCTTATTTCCCTCTGTATGATGAAATCTCTATCTCTTTCAAACTGTTATGGTATGTTTATAAAACTTGTGCCATTTACCATTTTTAATCTATTTGCGTTTGTGACAAATCACATGACCTAAGCTATTGGCTCATACTCTCCTTGGACAAGATGACCAGGGCTCATCTGAATCTCCCTGGAAGTATAGGTGCAAAGTGCTTTATACACAGAGATGCTAAATGAATATATGCTATGTTAAATAGAGTCCTTCTACTTTCTCATATAACACATTCATGGCATCCACACTAACAGTGATATCTTTCAAAACTGTTCAGATGAAAACTCCCTCAGTCAGGAACAAATTTGTCAGCTACCTCTCCTATTTTCCTCAATTCTATTCTAAACTTTCACCATTCTGTTCAAAACACCTCTCTAACCCTCCTTTCAGTGACAAACACCCTTTTTATTTCTTAAGAGAACCTGAAGTCATTAGGAGTGACTTTTTCTATCTTTTTATGTATTTATTTATTTTGAGATAAGGTATTGTTTTGTCATCCAGGCTGGAATGCAGTGGGTGTGAACATAGCTCACTGCAGCCTCAGCCTCCTGGGCTCAAGTGATCCTTCTGTCTCAGACTCCCCAGTAGCTGGGACTACAAGAATGCATCAGCCTCCCCTGCTAATTTTTCTTTAAATTTTTGTAGAGGTGGGGCCTCACTATGTTGCTCAGGCTGATCTTGAATTCCTGGGCTCAAGTGATCCTCCCACCTTGGCCTCCCAGAGTGCTGGGATTACAGGGGAGTCTAATTTCCTCTATCTTAAAGACTTACTTCTATCCATACCCCTCCTCCTATTCAAGGCCAGTCTCATCAACTTTCACCTTTAACCCGTCTTTTCTACACTCTCCTCATATTCAACTTTTTTTCTTTTCTAATAGCTCTTTCTCTTAAGACTGCCCAAGTCATATATCCTCTAAAACTCTTCCATTGATCCTGTATCCTCCTCTAGTTTCCAACTAGTCTCATCAAAACTTCTCAAAAGAGTAGTTACAGTAGTTACATTTGTTGCCTTCTTTTCCTCCCTTATCACCAACCCTAAATTCACAGCTATCTGGTTTCTACCTCCACTCTAAGCACACCAGAGTCACAAAATACCATTATCAAGCCAAGGATACTTTTCAGTTCTCAGATTACTATAATCTCTGTTTCATCAGACACTGTACCTCTTTTTGGTGGTATTTCTCTCTCTATTTCTCCTACTAACTCTCAGATGGTCTCTTTTGTGACCTCTGCCTGCTCTTTGAAGGTTAGTGCCCCCAGGTTTCAAACCTGGCCCAAGGTAGACCCTTACGTTATGTCATTCATCTCCTGTAGTTTTAATTATCACCCATATGCCAGTGACCTTTGTCTCTCCTTTAAATTCATATTTCAAGATTAGTATCCCACAGATACCTCAAATTCAACACACTCAAAACTAAATTCAAGGGACAGACATGGCAGTTCATGCCTGTAATCCCAGAACTTTGGGAGGCCACGGTGGGCCATTCCCTTGAGCCCAGGAGTTCCATACCAGCCTGGGCAACATGGCAAAACCCCATCTCTACTAAAAATAAAAAATTATCTGGGTGTGGTGGCACATGCCTATAGTCCCAGCTACTTGAGAGGGTGAGGCAGGAGGATCCCTTGAATCTGGGAGGCAGAGGTTGCAGTGACCCTAGATGACGCCATTGCAATACAGCATGGGTGACAGAGTGAGACGCTGTTCCTAAAAAAGATAAACCAAAAACAAAACAAAAAAACTACATTCAGCATTCTCCTCCTTCTTCCTCACCAAACCTGTGTCTTCTATTTCATTTTATAGCACATAGCATATGCTACAAATGAAAGAGTCAGCTGACATAATCTCCTAAGTATTTCTTCGAGTCATATTTCAACTCATTATGACAAAACATTAATGACAAAGGTGATCATTAATGACACTTATTGTTTATTACGTACTAAGCTTTATTCTAAGTGGTAGCTGCCCTGCTCCCTCAACCCTACCACAACTCTATGAAGTATTATTATCATCCAGTGTACAGATGAGAAACCTGAGGCACAGAGAAATTAAATAAATCATCCGAGGTCACACAGCAAGTGTGGGCACAACATCTGACCTGGGCTGTCTGCTTTCACAGCCAGCATAACCACCACACAGTAATAACCCCAGTCAGAGTACTCCAAACATGTAATGCGATGATTTAGAAAGAACTGAGTTTCTGTCACTGGAGATTATTTTTATTTTAATAACTTTTGCAAACTGTAAATTATCTCAAAAAATTTAATGAATCTTGAAAGTTACTTTCTCAGCATATAAAACAAACAAAATGAGACATATCAAGTTCAAGCAATGTAACTTACTACCACTCCAAAATATTTTTCCAGGACTCCAGAAAAACCTTATCGATTTCTAGGAACTTTCTATTAATTAAAATAAGCTAAACGGTTTCTTTATGCCTGAGTAGTTTATTACTTATCTTTGGGAATTTTATAATACCCAAACACCTTGTCAGCGTGGTCTAACAAATACATCTCTCTCCTCAAATCCCCAACAGCCTCGATGAAATAATGAGAACTGAAATCCCCACTATATGGAAGATTAAATTCCTCCTTTCCCACTTGACAATTAAGTTACTGTCTACTGAGAACATATGTGATCTTTCCTGATCAAAGAAGTAAGACCAAGGACTCTAACAGCCAAGCAGATCGGTGTTTTGTTTTTTAATGACATATGGTTAATCTGGAGAACATGCAAACAAAACAGCAAGTGAATTCACTTAGAAAATAATGATAAAGTACTGCTTTGCCTATGATAGGTGAGGAAATAACTGACTCATTCAGCTTTATATATGAAAAAAAATTTTCTTTATGAAGCAGTGAAGAAAAAAATGACATTTTCCCTTGAAACAGTTAAGCATACTGATAAGCTAATCAGGTATCTGAGGTTGAAAAAGCCAAATGCATTAAGAATCCCCTCTTTTTGCTGAATTATACTAGCCTTTTTTGCCTATTAACACCATAATTGGTACTTAACCAAAATTAAATCCAAACTTAACCACATTCCACCTGAAAACTGAATGAATAGTCCTGAAAATCTTGGGATAAATATAGATATAAGGACAAGAATTTCTTCTATACACATTTTAAAAGAAAAGGCTTGGATGCCTCAATGTTTTATTCCCATTCATTTACTCAATCTAAAAACATTTGCTGACCATGTGCTAGAAATGTTGACCACAGACACATGAAAAGAGATTTTTTTAACACACCTCCAAGTCTTAGGTGGGGGAAAAAAGCAGCAATAAATGAACTGAAGTAAATCTTGTACAGTGTTACATCTGCCTGAAGATTGTCAGATACACCACATTCATAAAGAATTGATAAAAAATAAAATTCTAAAAACACTAAGAATAAATAATCTGGCCATTATTTATCATCCATATAAGTAAATATCCAGATCAATACCTACTTTGACAGAAGAAATTAGAAACATTCACCCATTGAACAACTATTTCATGAATGCCTACTCAGGTAAGTAGCCGTACTAATTACATTATACTGCTAGTTGTCTCCCAACATCTTCTGCACCTTTCTTTCTCCCTGACATGAAACTCCCAAATTACAACTGGGTACACAGCTACCCAGCATACAGCCTGCATCTTAGTCTCTCTTGCAACTGTTAATAGATGTGGCCACATGCATATGTTCCAGCCAATGACATACAAAGCAGGAATGTCCCTGGCAACTTCTTCCTCATCCCTTCCTTCATCCTGAAGCCTGGAATATCAAAACCACCATTTGTACCTTGAGACCAGACTTCAGAAGGGGAAAGCAACAGGAAAGAGAAACCATGTTTTTGTCACCATCAGGTATGACAACAGTCTACATCACCTGCTCAGACTTTTATAAGACAGCAAAATACTTCTGTTTAAGCCACTCTTATTTTGAAGATTTTTGTCACTCAAAGCTGAATCTAAATAATACAACATTTAGAATATTTTAAAATTCAAATGGTTTGGAATATACTTCAAATTTCCAATTTTGCTGAGTAACCATATTTGAGTTGATGGAAATAAATTGTAATTTATAGTCTACACAGTTTTTAGATTAAAAAGTTAAAGAGCTCTACAAAATTATCACCCATTAGTGGTTCATTTTGTGTTTCCCAAATTTTAGCCAAAATACTCTCTAAAGCTATGGAATTTTAAGGGGGAAAAATCCAAGTTCACCCAAACTATACCTTTTATATTTTACATTTGATAAGGTATAGAGTTGTCACACAGAAGGAATTAAACTGATTTATATTGTTCTAGAAGGCAGAACTGGGAATAGTCAATAGATTCTCCTTCAACTAACAGACTTGTCTGATCCATGAAGCCTCCTCTAAACTTCCTTTTCACCACTCTGGTCTACACTGAAATTTTCATTTTTTAAAGGTAACTACTGTATGCTGAATATACTTTTTTTTCCTACCAGATGTATAACACTAATATTTGCTTGATTCTC